TCAACCCAGACTTCCCCCTTCCTCATTTCTCACGTAGGGCCTGGATCTGAGATTCCAGCTCCCCATTATACTGAAGCATTGGTCAACAGGGTTGGATTCTGCCCACCTGTTGTGTAGACATCCTGCTGCACCTGTATCCTGAGGGTGCCTTCTGTTGAAACATTAATTTCCAAAGTCTCTGCCAACTCTGTTAGTGTTGAGCAAGTGATATATGTTCAAGATAATATTTCTCATTGGCTACATGGTGGTCACTCTCATGAACGGCAGCACTGCAATTCCAACACTAACTTTTATATTTCCCCCTGGAAAAATGTCAACACTGACATGCACACAAAAAGCCATGCCATAATGTAAGAACTTTGGGTTAGGAGAGGTCTAAAAAAGATTTTTTAAATCTTAAAAAGTCTAAAAACAATGAAAATGCCTGTTCCATTAATTTTCAAAGATCTGTTTCCTTTTTCTTTTGGGGGGGGGGGAGTATTTTCACGTCAGTCTTCAGGGTTATAAAGCCTGAGACCTGACACTGTCCTTGGGCTATTTTAGCTGTTCTAGTTTACAAATTTATTAACCCTTTTCTTTCAACAACAGAGCACCTGAGTGGCAGGCCTTTCAAGGTGCAAAGTGAGGCAGGTGGAGCCCGTATAGCTCTTTCATATTTTAATACAGCAACAATTAGCCTAACATTCCCATCATTTACTTTTGAGAGTAAGTCACTTTGTTTACTTTGCTTCCTGTGGCTTTTCTTGTTATTAATGTGACTCTCTGTACTTCCATTAATATGATGATGAGGATGATGATGACGATAAAACCACAGTTTAATCCAGGAATTCATTTGCAGTTTAAAAACTACTTTCATAAAAAATTCTTGATTCAGTGTTAAGAAAAGATCATTTATTTTTTGTGATAGGCAACTTTTGGTGTTCTTATTATCTTGCATTCCAGGATTCCCCCACCTCCTCCTATTTTAACAGTGAACAACAATTGCATTCAGCAATCTAAGCATATGAATTGATAGCTAAAATAATAATTTAAGTTGGTCACTTTTGTTTGAACAAAATACAGTGGGTTTCATATAACCCTTTGCCTCACACATTTATGGACCTAGTGATTTTTTTTAAAGCAAGTGATCAGTCTATTTTAGTGTCACGGTGAAATATATATGCTTATAAAAGTGAAACTGTGCTGATGGGAGTATCTTGCTGTTGTCAGCAGAATCAACATTACTTGTCCTTGCAAAAAAAAAAAAATGTTTTATCTTAGGAGACATTTTCTTTTTTCAAGAAAAAAAAAAGTGCAACTTGAACAACCTTACGGTGATGAAAGCTCCCTCCCCCTTCGGAAAGCACAGCGGAGGTGGCAGATCTGGCCATCAGAGAACAAAGGGCCAAAGAGTGAACCCGAGATGGTGAAATAAAATGTAACGTCAACAAAGAAAAGGCCATAGATAAATAGTAAAAGGACCAACTCACCACAAAAAACCCATTGACGTTTTCCCAGAGTCCAGGCGAAGCGCTGGTGACCGGTTCATGTTGGAATGTTTTCCTAGGGTTAAAAGGAGAACCGGCAGCAAGTCTGCTCAGAATTTACAAAGTGTTTGAATAACACGGACAGTGTTTGGATAACACATTTTTAGTGGGGGTGAAAATAATAGAATTTATTGGGACATTTATATAGGCCCCCTTGGTTGTGTGGGGGGGATGGAGGGGAGGTAAACTATATATCATTGCACTCATCTATAACTCACCACTGTAATTGATCCATACATGTGTATATGTATTTGATGTGTAATAGTCCTGTAACAGACAAACGCTTCTCAGTTTTGCTTTTAAAAGATGAATGCCCTCATAGTGGCTACCTTTAAGGGGGAGGTAGGGGTAATGAGTTCACCTGGCCAGGTTGGCAATCACTTTATGTTATCAGGGGAGACAGTGGCATGAAGTTGGTATTGTTGCTTGAGACAACAGAGCAGAGATCTTAATGGGCTCACGCAGGTTTGGCCTTGGCTTCATTGTAGCCATCAAAGGGTCCTGCTTGCTCCATCTCAGGCTGAAAGGTGCAAGATTTGAGTTAATCCAGCCGGCATTTGGGTCTGGGGTTCCAACGGGTCTCCACGTTTCCTCTCCAATGTTGATGTTTTTGTTCAATGTATTCCAATACACTGTCAGTTGAGCCACATAAAACCAGGCACCTTTCAATAAATGTCTCATTTGGATTTCATGAAGCTTGGGGTGTAATTGAAATCAAACAGCAAACAGGCTGGAAGGCTCTGTTATTTGCCCACCCAATCTAAGGAGGGTGCTGCCTGACATGTTCACTGAAGCCAATGCCTTAGATTTCTTTTCTGTTCCTATCCTGGAAAAGAGCCTTGGATTTTTTAAAGTGCAGCTGGGACACATGAAAATAATGTTCATGTCTCTTTCCTTGGTTATAAGTAAAATTGAGAGCTCATTCCAAGTAGGAAATCACAGATTTGCTCATCTATAACTCTCTAGGCGTTGAGACTAGTATATGCTGTATGCAAGAATAAAAATGCAATTAGTTTAGCAATACAGAAAAAACATTAAATGAGATTTATTTATCTTTCTGCAGTCAGAAAAAAATCATCTTTAATTTAAACAGTCCTTTTCATTATGTTAGAATGTATTTGTATTATTTATTTATAGTGTGATCTAAATTATGTATATATTTCTCATGTTCCAAAAATCCTGAGTCCCAGGACAGTTTTGTGGAGCCTGAATTTTTATTCTTTCTCTTTGTTTCTACATCTGTAAAATGGGTTCAATTTGAGGTGAAACAATAGATATATTGAGGAGGCAGGGAGAGAGATAAACTGCAGCATCTGACCCCAAGAGTCGACACTAGTTCTGATTACACATACTGTGTAGGTATAAATTTAATAACTAGGGAGCACACAGAATGGACCCACGCGCTTTCAAGAGCTTGCTTTGGGGCTGGAATAAAATCAACCCTTTCTGATGTGGCGCGGGGGACAGCTGGCGCGCGTTATTTGCGCCAGAGTGGGTCGGAACGATGCCTGTTGCCTGCGATGGCACTTTGCCACGAGCGCTTCCCTGGCCGCCTCGAAAGCAATTTGAAGGAACAGGGAGACCCGCTCTCTCTGCGATAAAGAGCAATACTGCTATCTACCCACAGCCACACTAGCTCCAAATAATGGAGATTGGATCTCACTCCTACTTTTTCAGCAAACATGCCCCAAGCTCCATCAAGGGTAACCCGGAGGAGCCAATGAGTGGTTACCAGGATCTCCTAGCCCGGGGCTACGTCTCCAAACCGCCCCAGCCGCTCGGCCCCTTCCTTTCCTTGCTCTCGCAAAAGTACAAAGCAAAGTTCAATTCTTCAAGCGTTCTCTGGACCACAATAAAACAAAAGCCGGGGAGATGGGAGTGGCTGGTGGGTGATCAGAGCAGAGAGCCACGTCAAATCCGAACTGAACCGGTGGGACAAAATGAAAGGAGTGCGTGGCTGAGCGCGCTAGGACCAGCTTTCCAGGGGTCTGTTCCTGGGCTGCTCGGCCCAGAAACTAGGAGGCCCTTGCTCTGACCCACTCGTTTAACCTGCTCCCTCCCCCTGGCTGTGCCTTGACCCAGAAAACCTTCGCGCGCTCTTGGTTTTCACCCCCGCGAAAAACTGGTAAAAGCCCAGATGCTTCCGAGTTGCCTTAAGGACCAACCGTCTCGCTCTCTAACCCAGACGTGCCGGTCTTGGTGCTGCTGTGGTTTGAACCTACGTAGGACAGCTCCGAGCCCTTCTGCACCGGCGCGTGAGAACTCTGCTAATCCCGCGGCCGCCTCATCTGTTGTGGGCGAAGAGTTTCCCGTGTGATCGTGTTCGTTTGGGGAAGCAGAGTCCCGACACCTCAGCCGGAAAATGCGCTCCCGGAGCGATTACAAGCAGCGTCTGTAATTGCTTATGAACAGCGAATATCCAGGCTTCTCCTTATCAGCAAGGAAACGTGCCCCATCCCCCGTAATAATAAAACAATAAAATATGATGGCATCACTCTTTACCGTCTGCGGAAACACAGGGGAGAAACGGGCAGCTGGGGCAAAAGGGCTTCATTCAATATCAAACTGATTATTTCACTAATTATTCTTCCTTCTGTGTTGCGCCGCGGAGAGTACAGGGAAGCTTCTCCGCGAGGCCGCTTTGTTTCCCGGCGTCAGGCCCAGCTGAAGACGGGGTGGTGGGCAGGATCTGGGACTCAGGGAAACTGAGCCGCCTGGACTTGAAATTGTGGGAGGTGGTTGCCTCCCGAAAGCAGACGTGTTGGCGTGGGGAATGAGGGTGTTCCCAGTATCCCACCCCACCCGGGCTTCTGGGGGATTCGGTTCTGAAGGATGGCAGCGTGCACTCGCCGTCCCCGAACCCCAAAAGCCGGGCGTGAGGTTCCTCCCACAAGTCCTTCCCACTGAGTAAAAGGATGGGACCAAATAAAAGTGGTTCACAGGCGTTGAAGGCCAGGGAGTCTACTCCCATCGGGAGGAAAGTGTGCTGAAGTTACAGCCCCCGACGAGAAAAGACAGTTCGCTTGGGCCTCTCTCCAGCTCGCCCCAGATCCCCACCCTCAGGGACCGGGGCCTCCCCGAAAGCCAACTTGCGGAGCGGTTCTCCCTCCGGCCCTCTCAAACCCGCTCCCGCCTCGCAATGTTCCTCTCAGAGCGCAGAGATGACGTCTGTGCCAAGAGTGGACCCCACTACGGAGACCCCCCAACTCTGTTCCCCTAAACTCCAGCGAAATACAGACACCAGAATTGATTCTCCCAGCAGGACAGGGTCTCAAAGGAAAAAAAAAAAATCAGACCAGAGCAAAAGAAAGTTGCAGGCGACTTGATCCAATTAGTATATGCCTAATTGAATTAGTGTCACCTCCATCAGCCAATAGGAGGGTCCCGGGGCTTTGGGCCCCGAAACCCCTCCCTGGAAGCACATATATAAAGCAGCCAATGACAGCCTGCAAGTTTCCAAGTGGTCAACTTGACCGATAGCTCAGCAGTCAAGGAGAGCAGAAAGGCTAGCGCTGGTGGGTGGATGGGAACAGAGATCCAAGTCCTCTTCTTCCTGGGGGTGAGTGTGGGAGGAGAGCGGAGGTCCGGAGAGGCTAGAAGGACGGCTAAGAAAACAAGAGTGCTTCTCGATCAATTTCCACCTCCTGCCGTTCACACTCAGTGCGCTTTCCTTGAGGAAAGGACGCTGGGTTCAATACGCGTGAGTGTGCCTTAGCTGCCCGCGTGTCGCCAGGTGGGTAGCCCCGGCGCCGTAGGAAGGGGAAGTTACCTTCCCCTCGGAAGAGGGCGCTGGCTCCCCCATCCTGCCTTTATAATAAGGCCGCGGGAGGAGAGGAAGCACTGCCGTCTGCGCTCTGTAAAGCATGCAGTTAGGGGAGCAGCTTTTGGTGAGCTCAGTGAACCTGCCTGGCGCGCACTTCTACCCGCTGGAGAGTGCGCGAAGCGGCGGTGGCGGGACCGCCGGCCACCTCCCCGGCGCGACCCCTTCGCCTCAGAGGCTGGACTTAGACAAAGCGCCCAAGAAGTTCTCGGGCAGCCTCTCGTGCGAGGCGGGGAGCGGGGAACCCACAGCCGCCAGTGCGGGGGCTCCCGCGGTCATGCTCAGTGACGCCGACGCCGGGGACGCCTTTGCCAGCACCGCGGCAGTGGCCAAGCCAGGGCCCCCGGACGGCCGCAAGGGCTCCCCCTGCGGGGAAGAGGAGCTCCCCTCAGCCGCGACTGCCGCTGCTACTGCCGCAGCCGCCGCCACCGCGCGCTACTCCATGGACAGCCTAAGTTCGGAGCGCTACTACCTCCAGTCCCCCGGGCCTCAGGGCTCCGAGCTGGCTGCGCCCTGCTCGCTCTTCCCGTACCAGGCGGCAGCCGGGGCGCCCCACGGATCTGTGTACCCGGCTCCCAACGGGGCGCGCTACCCCTATGGCTCCATGCTGCCCTCCGGCGGTTTCCCCGCGACCGTGTGCCCACCCGGGAGGGCGCAGTTCGGCCCGGGAGCCGGCGCCGGCAGTGGCGCGGGCGCAAGCGGCGGCGGGGGAGGCGGCCCGGGAGCCTATCAGTACAGTCAGGGGGCTCCGCTCTACGGGCCGTACCCCGGGGCAGCGGCCGCAAGTTCGTGCGGAGGATGGGGGAGCTTGGAGGTTTCTGGTTCCAGTTTACGTGCTCACGTCTACCTGTGCAACCGGCCTCTGTGGCTCAAATTCCACCGCCACCAAACCGAGATGATCATTACGAAACAGGGCAGGTGAGCACAGCGCGGAGGGGACGCGGGACGCTGGGGTGGGCGGTGAAAGTGTGGCCCCGAGGAAGGCCGGGGGTGCACTTTGGAGAATGTGTTTCCGTGCGCAGTAAGTGGAGACGCCGCATCTCCAATTCGGTGTCCCTCCCCTACGCTCCCGGGCGGTCTGTGCAGGGTGTAATGTTACGGCTGTTTCCTCCTTCCCGTTACCCTTACCTGGACTGACGAGGAGGGGACGGAAATGGAAATTGAGGCTTGTCCACAAAGCTGGATTTACTAGATCCGCCCGCTCGGCGGTCCACTGCTCCCTACTTGCCCGTGAGGAAGAGCGGATGGGGGGAGGCGCAGAGGTTGGCCCCCTGAGCGCAGTAGATGGGCTCCCGCAGTTCTAGGCGCCAGGGTCTCCATGGGGCGCCTCCGGAGTATGGGCGTGAGGACCAGAGCCCAGGCTTCCGAGCCTCGGTCTGGGTTAGTTGGTTAGGTAGGTCCTGGAGCCAAACCTGGCTGGGGTTCGGGGATGAGAAAGTTCTCATATACGTCTAATTGCTAACAGTGGTTACTTCTGCGGAAAGTGAGGGGCGGGGGGGGGCTCTCAAAGGGGACCTTTAGCCCTACTAGTAGGATTGAAAGAAAAGGGGGGAGGGCAAGAACAACTTAATGTTATTCTCTTATACTTGTACATATAAAAATTAATGATTTTTCACATCGTGGAAAAAAATGAGCATCTTAAAAAGTCGAGCACTTGAGTGGGGAAAGGGCACAGACGCAAGTGACTTTGGGAAATAATTATTTTGGAGAAAGGATGTTCAAAATTTGCCAACTCGGTGATATTTTACATGATAAAGGCCACTTGACCGGTATTCTGTTAATTCTGTAGGCTTCTAGATGTCGTGCTCCGACCCTATCCCAGGTGCCCACGAACCTGGCCGAGTGTGGCCTGCTCTCGCGTGATTAAATCGCTTCTCCTGGCTGTGTTCCCTTGTACAGGCGCATGTTCCCCTTCTTGAGCTTCAACATAAACGGACTCAATCCTGCCGCCCACTACAACGTGTTCGTAGAGGTGGTGCTGGCGGACCCCAACCACTGGCGCTTCCAAGGGGGCAAGTGGGTGACCTGCGGCAAAGCCGACAATAACATGCAGGGTGAGGAGAGAGGAGACCGGGCAGGGAGGAGCGGATGGGGAAGCCCCGACACAAGCGTTCCCCCCGACCTGGGACCTAGAGGTGTTAGCATGAGTTTCTTTGTCTTGATTGTTTGACGAAGGGAGAAACTTGCCAAGTCAGATTTCTTGCTTACTAATATACAGAACTTTAACCGTAACCCTACGTCACCCCCCCCCCCCCCATTCCTATGTTTGAGGAAAGAATTATCATGAATTGTCAAAAACTCTCCGGGTGGCAAGGGGTCCTGGCAGTCTTAATTTTTACTTGAGAAAACGCTCTCCAAGAGTGAATCCCACCCGTAAAAATGCAACCATTTCCATGAGATGTTGTCCTCCCAGCTTCATCTGAACTACATGAAGTATCTCCTGTTGGCTCCATTTTTATATTTCGAGGTACCCTTACGATGAGCACCATGTCCAAGGAAGTCAGTGGAAGCACAGGGGCCCTGGAGTGGGTGGTGGGCCATCAGTGGAGTCTAATGGGCTCCAATGGCCTTCTTAAGCAGCTAGTGCTGGGGAGAACAGAGCTGTAAGAGCTGCTCTTACACCTTGCCCATGGATAATAAGACGTCCCTCCCCACTGCCCTCCATTGGTAAACAGCCCTATATGCTTGGGTTCTGTATTTTGTTTCATTTTCTCTTAGGCAACAAAATGTATGTCCACCCAGAGTCTCCTAATACTGGTTCCCACTGGATGAGACAGGAGATTTCCTTTGGGAAATTAAAACTCACCAATAACAAAGGCGCCAATAACAACAACACTCAGGTAGAGTGACAGAGGAGGGGGTGTCTTCTGGTTATAGATCACTTTTCTAACAAGGTCTCATACTCTTCCCCGTTTTTTTTGTTTGTTTGTTTGTTTTCAGTGTTACCTGTTCATTTGCCTATTTCTAAGCTTTTTTTCTTTCTTTTGACCTTTCTCATTTGCACTTTCTTACTGGATTTCAATAACAGTGAGTTGACTATTAGGAATGGAAGTACTGAAATATTTGGGGGACTTAGGAAACCAAGAGGAAAGAGTGTTTCTGAAACACACATACCCAGCTATGTTTTAAGTTTAAAAACATGGCAATGATAAAATCTTAAAACAGCAGTAGCAAAAAAATGATAGCTGTTGTCGGGAGCAAGCAGGAGTTCCATTCCAAAATATGTAGTTTGTGAAAATCTACTTTCGTTGCGCCTTTAAGAGACTTTTTCAACTCGGCCGCTCTCTTCCTGTTCCATTTCCAGATGATAGTCCTCCAGTCCTTACACAAGTACCAGCCACGACTGCACATTGTGGAAGTTACAGAGGATGGTGTGGAGGACTTGAATGAGCCCTCGAAGACTCAAACCTTTACCTTCTCAGAAACGCAGTTCATTGCCGTGACTGCCTACCAAAACACCGATGTGAGTGTCCCGAATGTCCCAAGATTCTCAAAAGCTAGGCCCAGTGTGCTAACTCAACGACTGTTTTTCTCCCCTATCTAGATAACTCAACTAAAGATTGATCATAACCCCTTTGCAAAAGGCTTCAGGGACAACTATGATTCGTAAGTGCTGCTTTTCTTCATACTTGCATGTTATTTTTGAACAGGACATTCATAATCAGACACTTTCCTGAGAACTTATTCTAGGGAGAACTTTCATGTTTGAAATTTTTACCTGTTTTTATCTTTACTTTTTTTTTTTTTTTGCCTGGACTAATCTTGCTGTAGAATTTTCACAGAAAGGATTTGTTAATTTCTAAAGAAATGTTAAGGGCTTTAAAATGAGGAGCTTTTTTGTGTTTTTAAATATTTGAGTGAAGATTTAAATTTTTCATAATCTGTATTTACATACCTTTCCATGTAATCCAACTTTTTTTTTTTTATCCTCTCAGGAGCACGTATAATTACCCCCCCCCTTTTTTTAACATAAGAAAAACCTGAAACTAAGAGGATGTAGTTTTCACATCAACAGCAAGGCTCTGCAAATGCCTTTTAAATGTGGCTTTCCTCCCATCACACTGAGAGGAGGAGTTGCTCTGAGTTCCTCAAATCCTGGGATTTGCAAAGGTGGATTTTCTATAGTTTAAATGCGTAATGCCTGGGAGGGAACTCTTTTTCTTTCATGGTGGGAAATTTTTCCCCAGGAGCCAGGACTCCGGTTCAAATGGACGAGGGCCTCTCCTACCTCCATCCCTCCGTGTCAACAGACCAGTGCTTTTTCATTTCTGGGAATTTGGTTTGTTTGGGGACAACATTAGGGTTTTTTTTTTTTTTTTTAAGTGTTTCTCTTTATATTGTAGCATGTACACCGCTTCAGAAAATGACAGGTTAACTCCATCTCCCACGGATTCTCCTAGATCCCATCAGATTGTCCCTGGAGGTCGGTACGGCGTTCAGTCCTTCTTCCCGGAGCCCTTTGTCAACACTTTACCTCAAGCCCGATATTATAATGGCGAGAGAACCGTGCCACAGACCAACGGCCTCCTTTCACCCCAACAGAACGAAGAGGTGGCCAACCCTCCCCAGCGGTGGCTTGTCACGCCTGTCCAGCAACCTGGGACCAACAAACTAGACATCGGTTCCTATGAGTCTGAATATACTTCCAGCACCTTGCTCCCATATGGTATTAAATCCTTGCCCCTCCAGACACCCCATGCCCTGGGGTATTACCCTGACCCAGCCTTCCCTGCCATGGCAGGGTGGGGAGGTCGAGGTTCTTATCAGAGGAAGATGTCGGCTGGACTCCCATGGACCTCCAGAACAAGCCCCCCTGTGTTCTCTGAAGATCAACTCTCCAAGGAGAAAGTCAAAGAAGAAATTAGCTCTTCTTGGATAGAGACTCCCCCTTCCATCAAGTCTCTGGATTCCAATGATTCGGGGGTCTACACCAGTGCTTGTAAGCGAAGGCGGCTGTCTCCCAGCACCTCTAGTAATGAAAATTCTCCCTCCATAAAGTGTGAGGACATGAACGCTGAAGAATACAGTAAAGACACCTCAAAAGGCATGGGAGGGTATTATGCTTTTTACACAACTCCCTAAAGAGTTATTTTAACCTCATAAAAATGAGCTAACTTTTTGCAGATGAACTTGGTGGTGTTTTTTGTTGTCTTCTTTGCCTAGGTTGCCAAAAAGATGTTTGCCTTCCACCTTGATGCATCGTGTTCTGTGCAATTCTCTAAAAGAAGGTGCCAAAGCTTTTTGATTGCTGCAGGTAACTGAAACAAGCCTAGCGTTTTCTTTTTCTTTCAAAATAAAGTTAATGGAGGACTTGGAAGTGTTTTTAAAATTTGAAGGTCATTCAAGGTTCTGGGTTTATTTATTGGAAACACTAAATGTTCAGAGAATGGGGCTGTGAAGATAGAATGCTGAACGCTATCACACCAGTTGAAAGCTTTGGTTCTTTATTCTATTTTTAAATCTCTAAGCATATAGAAGCCCAGAATCGGTAAGGCATTTTGTTTCTAGAAAAGAAGGGCTGGTCCTTAAGCTTCAACAGGGGACTTTTTGCCGTTACCTTCTGCTAGAGACAGAAGATGTCAGGCCTGGGAGGCGAGAACAACTTTTGTGAAGGCGTTGATTTTACCTGCCTTTGGTTCCTCCCAGGCTTTCTGAATAAGCCATGATTGCCTCGTTCGCTCTGCTCTGTGCTGGGGTGGCTCACAAGACTCAGGAGAGGACAAGGGAGGGAGTCACCCCCCAAAAATAAAGAAAGAGAATTTTAAAGTGTACAGTTGTGTGTGCTTAGATACACTGTAGAATAACGTGGAATATATTGTACAAATAGTCTACCTAGGTGTCTGAGATTATGTAAAAGCGGTGCTTTGGCTTTGTAAAGAATTTGCAGATCACCTGGCAGCAGCTGCAAGAGCAGGGGGTGGTTCCTCTCCTCATCCCAACCACATTGGGGAATATTCTGTTTACTTTTTAGGTAGTTAAGAATGTATTCAGCTACTCTGTACTTAACTTGAAACGTGTCTAAGGAAACTCCTCTATTTCAACCTCTTCCTTTGCCACCCCCACTACCCAGCTTGGTAATGTAAAGACAGTAAAACCCGACGCCACGGCTCCTATAGGCTTTTTAGAGATCTTGGATTTTTATGTACAGTCTTAGTCATTTTTTAATAAATGTTGTTCATTAAGGGAACAGGCATAGCTCTGTCTTCTGTACTACAGGTTTTAATCTAAATATGTTATTTTGCTTTCTCCTCCACCCTTCTCCCGCATGACCACTGTTTTGCCAACCCCTCTCCCTGCCACGGAAGGCTCTAGAATCTCTAAGAGAAGTGGGAAGTGGAGATGACTTCTATCACTTCTTATCCTTGAACGTGAATGGGGTTATTTTCTCACCCCACTGGGAAGTCTGGACGGTGGGTGTTGGGGTGGGGGTGGAGGTGCCCAGAGGCAAGATGGCCTACATCAGGCTAGTCCAAACCTGGAAAATCCTCGCCCCCTTGGCGCCCGGGCCCTGCCGCTGCCCGGGACCCTTAGTTCTCTGGGCTCTTTCCTAGGCCTACCTGGGGCCACCCGTCCCTGACCTGTGTGTGCCCCCTGGGAACCCCCGAGGCTCTCTGAGCGCCCACGAGTTCCGGGTACGTGAGGTGCGGCAGCGAGCTGACCGCCCCCAGCTCAGCTTCTGCTCCCACCTGCGGCTTCTGCGCGGCCCGGGCTGCGCTCCGCGTGGCTGCCGCCGGGGCTCTGCGCCCCACCGGTCCGGGGACACCGGGGCTGCGCGGGCGCGTCGCCTACGCACGAGGACTCCGGTCCTCTTTCCACCCTGCAAAGGTCGGCCCCAGAGCGCTTCGCCTCGCGTTCAGCTCCGTTTGTTTGGCTCTCCTTCCCCCAGGAGGGCGGAGGCTACCCCATCCCCTGGCTGAGCCCTGGGCCCACCGAAAAGTTAAACCAACGAAGGGGCGGAGGGCCCTTTGTCCCCTGCCAGACGTCCCGCCAGGTTTATCAGCAGACGGCTTCAGGCCCAACTTGCAAACCTTTCCAGCCCCCTCCTGACCCTCCCGGGGTAAAGGTCTGGCCGGGCGGGTCACTCTGCTAACTGCGGCGCGGAAATGCAGCTGCTAAGAGGATTAGCTGCTGGGAGGCGAGCAATCAGCCGGGCCTCCTCCCCTTCCGCGTCCAATTAAGGCCGTTGGGAGCTTGTACCTCGCCTCTCCCCAGTTTCCCATTCCCTCCACCCTTGAAGGGCCCAGGATCCCCCCGCGCCGCTGGTGACCTTGGGGGGTGGGGGTAGAGGGCTCGGACTCAGGCGCCGCGTCTCCGACCATAGAGGTTCAAAACGCTTTGCCAAAGTGGCCCCGAATTTTACCTGAGCTGGAAGCCATGCTTTGAAGTTTGGAGTTTGGTTTATGCATATTTATTCTTTTTTTCTCTCTCTCTCTTTTTTTTTTACAAGCTTGGCTATTGTGCTTTCATTACAAAGAGCATTTCACATTACACTTTTGCTACCACTTCAACCACAGGCATCCTTCTATCACCAAAATGAAAATGGTCTCAAAGACTTGGGGAAAAGCTAACTGAATAACAGTTAACTTAGATAACTGAGTCATGTTTGTATTCTTGATGACATTTAGACTCGGGGAGGAGGACCCCAAACCTGGTCAGCGCGTCCCCCGTCCCATCCCCCAGGAACCAAAGCGTGTTGGGAGATGCTCTGGAATTTCGAAACGGTGCTCTCCTGCTAATCACCTCCGGGATAGAGCCGACTCTGGCCCCAGTCTATTTCGAGTCCTGTATATTTTTGCACGGTACAGTAAAAAGAACCTGGTACTTGTGAAAAGTCCCTCACAGTGTTTAATAGAAACGTTAGTGGCTGAGTGGCCCCAATTAACACCTTGTGATAAGGCATTCCTAAAATGGAGTGTCAGACACCAAATTGTGAAGAGATGTATCTAATTAATCCTCCTAGGATGACACCGATAAACAAGCCTCTATTTAAATAAAGATCAAGGGCTCGGCGCCGGGTTTGTTTACATTCGCCGCCAGGGTCCCTGCGTTTGCGCCCGCGCGGGCGGTGTTCCCCGGCAGCTCGCAGACACCGGCTCGGGCGTCTGCTGACTCACGGAGCTTCGCTCCGCTCCTGCTCCTGCCCAGACGGACGCTCACTGAAACGAGCAAATAGGCCGCGAGGAAACAGGAAAACGAAGTGCTGAAAGGACCCGACTCAGAACTGGAAACACTGTTTGCCCTTTTCCACACGTGTTTTTTACATGGCCACTTCTGGGTTTTTTTAAAAAGGCAAACGAAATAAAGCAGCCCACCCGTAGCCCCTGGAAGTCTCTGCTTGGAGGAGAACTCGGAGCAGGACATTGCTTCAACCTCCCACCCCACCCTGGCACGAGTTCGCGCCCCTCCTCCCCACCCCCTCTTGGCCCCAGGATTTCCGCCCCCTCCTAGGCGCTTAAGCCCAGAATTGCTGGGATAGAGGGTAGCTATCGTGCGGGTGGGGTGGGGAGCCGCCCGCTGGGAAAGGCTGGAACAGTCGGGAAAGAAATGGAGTAGGGACGGTGCACACCAGCGCGCCCAAGCCTCAGTCTAAGGACAAGGGCCGGATTGGGAGCCGCCGGGAGTCCGCCGCAGCGCACCTCGCAATGAAGGGCGTGGGGTTCTAAATCAGCTTTTGGTCCCAGCGGCCTTCCTTTCCAGACAACGTGGATTAACTTTAAACCTGGGTGTGAGGGCAGACTCGCTGACTTCCCTTTCGTCTGCTGTCCCTTCTGAACCAAACAAGGGCGAAGAGGGGCGGTGATGCAGGTTAAAAATCATGCAGGTGTCATGGGAACGCTCGGAATAAAAACATTCCTGCACATCTCTTGATTTTAATAGAAATTGAGCTCCCAGTGGGGACAAAAATTAAAAGCATTCATTTTCCACCCGCCTGGGCGCTGCGTCCTTCCTCTTTTCCGCTGGCGCGGCTCTGTCCCCCGCCCTGCTACACGACGGCTCCAAAAGTTTGGCTTTCCCCCATGGAGATTTAGGCATCGTCGGGAAGTTCCTTTAAAGGCAGCTTGCAAAACTATGTTGGTGAGCCCGAGTGAAATCCCCATCCCTCCATCACCCCGTCCCTCCAGTACGCGAGCCCCGCAGGTCCAGCTCGGGTGGATTCGAACCCGCGGAATCCATCCACCTGCGCCTGTCTCCGACGGGGGTCGGGTTCCCTCCGACGACTCGCAGAGGACTAGGCCCAGTGCAAACAACTGGGGTTCTCCGGGGCTCCCGCCTGCGCGAACCGGGCGTGGACTGGAGTTCCTCCCCCGCCCGTGAACTGAGCGGTTCGTGTAGCCTGAAGTTAAACTTTTTAAAAAAAACAAGATAGGGACTCTACCTTGGTGACCACCGAATTTCTCACTATGGCTTAAAGGAAAAAGCAAACTTCTAGCCGTCCATTCAGCCCTCTCGCACCTTCTGCACTGGCCCTAGTTGTCCTCGCGTGTCGCCGAGGACGCGCAGCGAGTTCACGGGGGAAGAATTCGGCTGCGCCAGGTGCGGAGCAAGCCCTGCGCGACGGTCCCCAGAGTTCCGGCTTCCGATGGGTCCCAGACCACCGCAAAGCTTCGGGTCACTGCTTATTTTAGGCAGCAGGGCGCGCACCCCCACCTTTACCCCACCGCCTGTTCCCCGCTCCTTACAAATCCCGAAACTTTCTTCTACAAACTCTTGGGGAGGCAGCAAGGCTCGAAGAGTCACTTCTGCAACTTTAGGCTTTCCCTGCGCCTTGCCCTTGGCCTTAGGCTCTGGCCGCGGTCACCGCGCGGGGTTGCGGCCGCGGTCGTCCTCTGGGCGGCGAGCAGCCTTCGCCATCTGGTGGCCACGACGAGTAAGAATCTCCCCAGCCGGTCCTGAAGCTTCTGTAAGTCAGCCGTTTCTTCATCCCACTCCCACTGTTCCTTTCTAAAGCCTCTCTTGTCTGGGGAGGAGCCCGCATTTGGAATTCGAGGACTTGAGGGTCGTGGGCAGGGGCTCACTAGCTGCGATTGCTTCTTTGGTCAGTTCTTTATCCGTGGTTTCTTGATTCCAACACCCACCTCGCCAAGCAGCACCCAGGAGGAAGAAATGAGATGATACATTTAACTGCGTTGTAAACTGTTGAGTAGCTCCAAGGATTAGTAGGCATTATTAATTACTAATTTTATAACATGATTTGTAATACATTAGCAAATGGAAGACTTTTTTATTAATTCAAAAATAAGGACAGAAAATTTCAAACATACAGTTAAGTAGAGAGCATTGGGGTACCCCCCCCCTTGCAGCTGTCTTCCAGCGACAACCACCATCATCATCCTATAATTCCACGCCATTCTTTCCACCACAAATCACAGAAACCCCTGCCATCTAATCTAGCCATTTCCATATGTAGCCCTAAAAGGTAAGGATCCTTTAAAATATATATAGTGCACATACATGTTTTTTAAATATTTATATGTTATAAATGTATATATAAAGTTTTTGTTGCTTTCTTTGTTTTAGAGTTGGTTGGTTTGAATGAGGATCTAAACAAGTCCCACATATCTGGTTGATGTGTCGCTTAATCCTCTGAATCTAGACATCTTCCTGTTGCTCCCCTTTCTAATTTCTGTTAGCAATTTATTGAAGAATTTCGAGCGTTCATTCTGTCTAGTTTTCCAGGTTCTGGATGTTGCTGACTGCATTCCCATAGTGATAACATCACCCTCTGACCCTTGCATTTCCAGCAAAGTGGTAATTAGATATGAAGATTTGATCTGACTCAGATTCTGTATTTTGGGCAATAATATTCATACGGAGGTGGTAGTGTTCCATCAGGAGGACCATGATGTCTGGATTGTTTCTCCTTGGAACATGCCATTGTGCATTGATGATTGTCAACTAGACCCATTCTTTCACTAAAGGTTTGACAAAGAAGGTAAATTTCAGTGCAGCTACTGTTAACAACATGTACATGAGAAAGTTTTACTCAATGACACTTTGTTTTTTTGTTTGTTTGTTTTTGTTTTTGTTTTCCTTTAACAATTTTAGAGAGAGATAGAAACATCAATGAGAGAGAACATCGATTGGCTGCCTCCTGAATGCTCCCCATTGGGGATTTGGCCCACAACCTGGGCATGTGTCCTGACCAGGAATTGAATTGGCGACCTCTTGGTGCATGGGTCAGTGCTC